GAATTTCAGCTCCCTGGTTTGCTTGGTTCTCGGGTTTTTATGCGTTTTGTGTTGTGTAACAGCAGTACAAAACGCATATTATCACAGGGTTGTCTGTGTGTGTGTGTGTGTATGTTTGTGTGTGTGTCCCACACTTTGTCCCTCACTTTCAACTCGGGAACTACAAAAGCTAGGCGGCTGAAATTTTGGTATAGTGTTCCCCACCAGCGGGTGACGCGGCAGATTCAGATTCAGCCTTCCGTATTCGCAGGTACACGTACGGCCCCGTAAAAGTTTTTCGGATAAAATCAGTGTCTCGGGAACTACGAGAGGTAGGAAGCTGAAAGTTTATGGGTATGTCCTCTGACCACGTGCGACCCAGAAAGCTCAAATTCAACTTTCCTGTACCCGCGGGTAACACGTACGGCCCTGTGAAAATTTTTGACGGATGGATTATCTCGGGAACCACGGAGTCTAGGAAGCTGAAATTTTAAGGTAATGACCCTCTGCCCACTCTCAACCTTACCTATTCAAATTGAGCGGTCCGCGCTCTTGAGTATCACCTACGGCCTCGTGAAAATATTGGTAGGTAAACTATTAACTCGAAAATCACGGAGAGGTATTCACCCTTCAAGATTTCGAATTGAGCTTTCTTGCGCAGGTACGTGGAATTTTTAACTATTTTCCGATGTTTGAACTATTTTTGCATAGACTAAAGTATAAAGCAGTGAAAATCATTAAAGGGCAATCGTTTGATGGGCTGAATTGCACAAAACGCATGATCGCATCGGCTAGTCTGGTGCGCGTTGCTATTTATTAATTTTGGGGCCAGAGATTCTGCGTGTCCTCATGTGAGATTTTGGACATACGCAGGGCTGAATTTGAGCTTGCGAGGTCACAAGCGGGCAACGGACACTGGTAAATCTTCAACTGCTTAGCCTTCCTACTGTTCGAGTTATTAATTTTGGCGTCAATTTCGCGCACTCGTGCGTGAGACCTCGGCGCAAGTAAAGACTGAGTTTAGCTTTAGGGGGTCACATGTGGGCAAAGGAAATTCCCCTAAACTTTCAGTTTACTGCCTCCTGTGCTTCCCAGGTTAATTTAAGCGCCAAAACTTTCATGTGACCGTACGCTACGCCTAGGCCAGCGCTGACAGTAAATTTGAGTCTGATAGATCACGTGTGGGCAGGGTTTCCCCCTTAAAATTTCAGCTTCCTAGCTTTTGTGGTTTCCAAGTTGAATCCCCGAACAAAATACACTCGGAATACACGCGGGGTCGTCGCAATATGCGTTTTTGCTGCCTTTTGCAGCATGCAAAAATGTATAGAAATTAGATAAATGCAAAGGTTCCGGTTCATTAAACTACATATGTTTCTATTCAGTACCATGTCTAAACTCCATCAGTACGGCAATTATGGTATTAATAATAGAGAGTAGTTGAAATACAAATGTATTTAAGGAGGGTAATGTATAACCCTAACATTTTATATTCCAGTTGTCCTTGTGTACTCATTTATAAAGGAGGCAGTAATTGTGACCTTGTGGCGAGAAAGTGCCGATTTGTTAGTCTCATATCTGAGGTTTTTTTCGGACTGAAGTTTTGCTTTGAATATACAATTTACTCGTGACACAGTTGGGGCTGTCTTTTTTGTAATCATAGTTGTAGCGCTGCCTGGTACCAGCACGCACTTGCCAGTAAGGGAGATTTTGAATTCTTTTCGGTAGTGTCTAAAAAAGAGACTTATGACTTTTTGAGACACTACCACCCTCGTATCAAATTGCTTTCGGAATGAATCGCAGGTAGTTATTGGGCTTACTTCATTCTACACTTTGTTTTTTTTTTCTCGAAAACAAACGGGAAGACAAAAGATTTAATGGAACCTCCATTACGTGAGCTTTGTATTTGCATTAACTCCAGAAGATCATTTTGAGTATGTTCAACTCAGCTTCATTGTACTTAACAGCTGCCTCATACATGCCCTGGAGACATGTGGCTTTTTAACGACGTGCGTTAAGATACAGTTGAAGTGGGGTACTGCTGTAAAATTATCGGATAATTGTTGTTGCGACTGATTTTCAAAAAATACTAACAATTACAGGTCTGCCATTTGTGCCAGACAGTTGGCATACACTGAAGGTACGCATGCAGCAAAAAGTAGAAGCAGAAGGAGTGATGGCAAGCGGCGGGGACGAATTGGGCTTCGAAGATATTGGTAAGTAAAATCAACTGAAAGCATTCGTTAGCCTCACCAGTAGGTGATGAAATGCAGGAAAGGTCGTGCATTTCTGCACGCGAAATTACATGGGCGCCATACAGCGCACTGTTGAGAATAATATGATGAGCTCCAGTACTGTCCACGCTGTCGACCTGGTCTATGTCGGTGAATCAGTAGGGAGCAACTGAAGATCTCAGGCAATTGGTAGGTATCACTGCCGAACGGGCCCAAGTTGGATCGCCCCAAACTGCATTTATGGTTGTCTTCTCCTGTTATTGTGCTTGCGAAGCACAACTTTGCGCCAGAAAGAACGCAAAGCTGATGAGGCAGCAAATCTTCGTTCCGTTATCCATTCAGTCTGATTTAATTGCAGATGATGCTGTAATTGGAGAGACATTGATAAACAAACTGCAGGAGCGCGCGCGGAAATTGCGCGAGTTGTATCACACATCACGAAACCATCAGGCGAACTTGGATCGGCATTGGCGTAAGACGCTCGAAAAAAAGAGTATAGTTTATCGTTGTTCTTTCTGATTTTAGCCCCGAATAATTGTGCACTGATGGTGCGGTGAGGAAGTTGGATTCATGAGCACAGTATGGCCAAGCAATACCAACAGCTGCGAGGTATATGAAGGGCTTCGTACCTTTAGCAGGTGCTTAATCAGCCGGAGGAATGTTGCTTTGTATGTCAACTCCACGTCATGTGTGATATAATCTGTTGTTGCCAGCCTAACCAACGAGTGTTATGGAAATTCTTGCGCTGTGAACTAGAAGATGTGTCCACAAGTACCAGCATGGGAAAATCGGAAAATGAAATGAGGAATGCACGTGGCGCGTATCCCTTCAGGTTCACTCCTGGCCGTGCTGTGGCTGCCAGTTGTCTCACGTGGAAGAGTGTTGCCACAGGCTGTCTGCCCATTTATTATATTACACTGCAGCTGTTTTGGCCATACTCGAGTTTAAAAACGCGTCCAGCTCAGTCTTCTGAGTTGGTGATGGACATGAGGCGGAATGTGAACTATTGTTTAAGTAAGTTGATTAGAAATTTTTAAGTCAGCTTTAAATTGAGGCCCAGATTGTCCGTGCTTCAGATGAG